TTGTGCTACAAAATTTAGTTTACAGTTTAAAGTCCGGCCCAACTTTAAAAAGAATATTTATCTTTTTAAGTTATCATTAGTGTAGAGCTTTTAAACGATCCGAATGTGTTCTGCATCGACGCAAAGGGACAAGTTGATGTTATTTCAAAGGACTGTCCGATTCACACAGGTACTCTTGGAAACTTGAATTGTTTAATAATGTACAGTCGTTTCATTCTGATAATTAACTCTATTGTTACTCTAAACAGAAATCCGCCAATCACTTTTGTAGAGAAACCACAAATAGTTAAATTTTAAAAAGAGCAAGATATTAATAGCTCATTTATTTTTATCAGACAAGGCTTTCAAGGATACCGTTACCAATCAGATATACAACTTTACAAATGGAAGATGTCTTAAAATTACGCACTGCACAGTCCCTTTAAATTAAAGATTTGATCATTCTGAATTGTCTTTTAGAGCATAAATTGGATTTAAAGATGATAGGATAGAAGTTGTCTATATTCCATGCATAAAGGAATAATTCAATCAAAAATATTTAAAAACAAGGATAGATATGCATAAAGGAATAATTAAATCAAGAATATTTAAAAACAAGGATAGATATGGATAAAGGCATAATTAAATCAAGAATATTTAAAAACAAGGATAGATATGGATAAAGGAATAATAAAATCAAGAATATTTAAAAACAAGGACATATATGGATGGAGGAATAATTAAATCAAGAATATTTAAAAAACAAGGATAGATATGCATAAAGGTAAAATTCAAATCAAGAATATTTAAAACAAGGATAGATATGCACATTAAGGTAAAATTCAAATCAAGAATATTTAAAAACAAGGATAGATATGGATAAAGGAATAATTAAATCAAGAATATTTAAAAACAAGGATAGATATGCATAAAGGTAAAATTCAAATCAAGAATATTTAAAACAAGGATAGATATGCATAAAGGTAAAATTCAAATCAAGAATATTTAAAAAGGATAGATATGGATAAAGGCATAATTAAATCAAGAATATTTAAAAACAAGGATAGATATGCATAAAGGTAAAATTCAAATCAAGAATATTTAAAACAAGGATAGATATGCATAAAGGTAAAATTCAAATCAAGAATATTTAAAAACAAGGATAGATATACATAAAGGTAAAGTTCAAATCAAGGTTAACGTCCTAAAGTATATTTCACGTAAGATTGAAATCTTTCATAAAATGAAAACCGATAAAGTCCCCCCCCCCTCGTTCTGTTTAGTTTTAGAGATGGGATAGGAGGGATTTGCAAGGTTAAAAGATCAAATAATAAAGATGATTATCGCTGGTAAACTCATGAATTTATTGGCTTATTGTTTATTTTAATTCATGTATTTTGTTAAGGTTGAATAAGTAGTTAGTGTTCAGAAGAAACCATTGTTTTAAAATTATAATTCCCATCCTCAACCAGCTCAGCAGAGGAGGTTTTACGTCAAGCATAAACTCTAGGATGGTATATTATTAGTCCCATGCATAATAAATTCATAAAATGCATTGGAGCTTAGCTTTAAAGAGACAATTCACAATCTTGGTAACTTAGACGACTGCTTCTTGATAACCAATTGACCACTTTTTTTGATATTTGACCACTTTTTCTTGATAACTTGACCACTTTTTTTTAATAACTTTGACCACTTTTCTTTGTAAATTTGAGCACTTTTTCTTGATAACCTTGACCACCTTTTTTGATAACCTTGACCACTTTTTCTTGGTAACTTTGACCACTGCTACTTGATAACTTTTACCATTTTTTAACTAAACCAAAAATAAAATAGTAAATCAGTTTTTTGAAAATTGAAAACAGTTCCTTTAAATGAAAGGTTAAGTAACCTAGTAAAAACTAGAGATGAATATTTTTAAGACAATAATTATATATTGTCAAACTGTATTCTGTATTCATAAATATTCAACTTGAGACCAACGTGTTCATTGGAAATGAGGTAGATAGATAGGTAGACAAATAGATATGTAGTGAACACCTACTCCATAACCAGTTCTCGAAATGTATCTATCCAGGTTCAATCGGTCCGCTATCAGGGTCAACCAGGACACAACCCACCTCTAAATACCACAGAAGGACACAAGCCTAGCTATCAACAAGCTATATATCGATCCCAAATGATGGGGACGATCCAACGCTCTTAATTCCGCACAGGGACACAAGCCTAGCTATACATCAAGCTATATATCGATCTCAAATGATGGGGAAGATCCAACGCTCTAAATGCCACACAGAGACACAAGCCTAGTTATACAACAAGCTATCAATTCAGTGCTCTAAATACCACACAGGGACATAAGCCTAGCTATACAACAAGCTATATGTCGATCCCAAATGATGGGGACGATCCTCTCTAAATGCCGCACAAGGGCACAAGCCTAGCTATCCAACAAGCTGTATATGGATCCCAAATGATGGGAACGATCCAACCTGCTTATCAAAACAGGGTTTCATTCTAGTTATAAACAAGCTAGATATCGATCCCAAATTAACAGGTATGATCCACCTCAATACAAGCTTCAGGGTTTCAGTAAACAGTACGGAGTTACTCTATAAAATAACTTTAATAAGATAAACTATGTCATAAGTTAACGTGAATTGACGTAATTAAATTTCCTGTTATCTATATCACATGATTAAGACAATCGTATTACGTATTTATCGCACAGTTAAAGTTTAATGTTAATATTTATAAGATTATAGAGAATAGATAAAATACAGTTAAGCTTTGTCATCACATTTTTATAGCGTATAATTTAAGTATGTCGGATGATTTAAGCTAATCATGCTAAGTATTCATTGAAACGCATAATTTTGACGCAGTTTTATATCAATTTCTCGAGACAGGAACATCCGATAGATGTCTTATATGTATAGTTCAACGCCTGAGATTCTCAGGTTTCATCCTATACTCCCTTTCATTTTTCCTTTACAGTCCCTTTAAGTAGACATGTATATGGGTCTACGTTTGGTTAAGTAAACAGGTAGAGGTAGACGTTTTGGTAAGTAGAAGGTAGATAGGTAGACGTTTTGTTAAGTATAGACAAGTAGATAGGTAGACGTTTTGTTAAGTATAGACACGTTGATAGGTAGACGTTTTGTTAAGTAGACATGTAGATAGGTAGACGTTTTGTTAAGTAGACATGTAGATAGGTAGACGTTTGGTTAAGTAAACAGGTAGATGTTGACGTTTTGTTAAGTACACAGGTAGATAGGTTGATGGTTAGATATGTAGATATTGGTAGATAGGTTTATAGGGAGATATGTAGTAATGGAGACATATATTAAAGAAGAGCCTAAGTATTGAGAACTTTTAGAATGAAATTCTATCATATATATATGCTTACATGTCCTATATTCATGTCAACAATTGACAGAATTTTCAACATTCAATTTTAAAATATCTTTTAGATATTGACGGACATCTTAGAATTTAATTTTTTCTTTCACGACATCAATTCTGTTCATCAGACAAATCAATATAAGGTTTTATATAGTTTAGATATATATTGAGTCTTTGCCACACACTCAAACTTTATAATCCTTATGTTTTTGCAATCAAACTTTTATTATTTGATCTAACATAATTTCAAAATTTAACATTTTTAAGGTCTACGACTCGCCATTGGGTTGAAAAGATATTGTTTGTGGCTCAACTCCTTTAATGATTTTCTGTAAAAAGTAGGTACAAACATTTTGTTAAAAAAAGCATACAAAATTGCACGCATTTTGATTTTATAGTTAGTTTTAGTTATATAACTTTTATGTTTCAAGTTTATAAAAAACCCTTTACGTAGAATTGCATTGAATCTTTGCCACAAACTCAAATTTTCTAATCGCTTTATCTTTCCATTCTGTAGATTTCAAACCTAGATTTTAAAAAAATATTTTAAAATATCTAAGGTCTACAATTGGTTTGCAAAGATTTAATTATTAAAAATCAGAGTTGCAAAGACGCAATTTCTGTACGCCCAATTTTATTAAATTATTCAAATCATAATTTACAGTGAAGAGCAAAGTACTACTTTACATTAAACACCGTAGCCTTATCGTATGTATTTAAAAAAACCGGTGAAAATCGTCTTTAAAATTTTTCTTTGACAAAATCTTTTATTTTTTTTAAATAAAGTTTTGTTTTCCTCATTTTTGAGAACTTGTGGTCATGATCTAGACTTTGTAGTCAAAGAAAGAAACTAATTCCACATGCCTGCATAATTTTATTAATAAATATTATAATTCTATATTTTTACATTTAAATAAATCATATTTATAATATCACAGATAAATATATCACAATGTCACAAACAATTATATCCAAGGGGGTTTTTCTTCAAAGGAATTGAGTCTTTGGAACAAAATCAAATATTTAAACCCCAATATCTTAAGAACCCGATGGTGTAAACCTTTTATATTTCAAACTCAGATTATTTGATTTAACAGAATTCATAGTTTGAAATATCTAAGGTCTACAACATTTGTTTCCAAAGATATAGTGATTATAAAATCAGAGTTTGTGGCAAAAACTCAATTCCTTTATTTAACCAAAACCAAATTTGTTTAAAAGATAAAATGGAACTACTTTGTGTTTATTGCTAAAATAATATAAATTTAGTTTGGCTGTGTTGGGATTTAAAACAGAAACACCTCGAAAAAATTAGCTTTGACAAATGTTTTTAATAATAATGAATAAAAACTTTTTAAACTAAATTATTCTCTAGTTAATTTGTAATTTATTTGGTTTGTTTACAATTATCACTTTTATTTTGTGCGACGAAGTAATTGCCACAAAATCTAATTTTTTGGAATCCCTATATTTTTGCAACCTGATGGTGTAAACCTTTGATCTTTTAAATCTAGATTATTTGATCTAACAGAATTCAAAGTTTGAAATCTCTAAGGTCCATGACATTAGGTTGGAAAGATATAGGGATTAGAAAATCAGAGTTTGTGTTACCAGGATTTATCCTAGAATTTCTGGAGTCTAGTCACGATTTTCCTTCTGCCTTCGAGGTCGGGGCCAGGGAGGATTAAAATATATAGAGGTTGGGCTTAGGAAGGATTCAAATATATAGAGGTCGGAACCAGGGAGGATTCAAATATATAGAGGTCGGGGCCAGGGAGGATTCAAATATATAGAGGTCGGAGCCAGGGAGGATTCAAATATATAGAGGTCGGGCTTAGAGAGGATTCAAATATATAGAGGTCGGAGCCAGGGAGGATTTAAATATATAGAGGTCGGGACCAGGGAGGATTTTAATATGGAAGTCGGACTCATGGAGGATTCAAATATAGAGTTTAGAAGTTTATATTTGTGAGGCAGTCCATATGATTGCTCGACACGAAAACGCAGCTAAATTTACATTTTAGTTCTAGGAACTGCATTTCTGGCTATCATGCTTCTAGCAATCATATCTGCAGTGTATAAAAAAATTGCAAATACACACCATGCAGATACTAGAATATGCAGTTTAATTCATTTATAAAAATCATACTTGAACAGAGCACTCTATATTTGTAAATACTCCATAAGAATGAACAAGGTTTGAGGTGTCTGGTGTACATATATATTCTTTTATCCATATATAATATATATTTATATATATGTGTCTATATATAAAGTTATAAACCCCCAGAGGACTCTAGAGAAGCTAAACATATAATGAGATTGGAAATATTTTAACTTTGGAATAAGTGTTTCCTATATTCATGGGATGAGAATTAATTAAAAGAAATTTATTCTTTTTATTAATCATTAAAGTTGAAAGCTTACTTCATGCTATCTTTCTGCACATGTGATCAAAAACAACAATCAGAATTTTAAAATGTTTAAAAATTTTTTTTATTTTTGCATGCACCATCTAAGTTATCGGCAGTGAACATTGTACTGCACAGTTTGTAACTAATCCCTCTAGCGGATTATTGACGAACTACACTGTACTGTACAGTTTTTAACTAATCCCTCTAGCGAATTATTGACGAACTACTCTGTACTGTACAGTTTTTAATTAATTAATCCCTCTAGCGGATTATTGACGAACTACTCTGTTGGCGCAATTACTCATATTTCCAGAAGGTAAATTACTCCACATCAATTGATCCAACTTCAGATATTACAGGTAGATCTTCCCCGCGCAGAAACCTAGTCTTTGTCCTGAATTTGCTGACATTTTATTCAAATTCAATCTTTTCTTATTTTTATATAAAATTTTATTAGGCCGAATAATAACTTAATGAACGTAGTTTGATAAAATGAAGTTTCCTGAGCCGATGCCATGTTTTCTTATTTTCTTCTTGTCCTGAACCATCGTTATCCCCTTCAGGTTGCTTTAGAATCATCCTGCAAAATTTTAAAATTAAAATATTTTTTTCTTTAAATTTAGTATACAGTCCATTTAATATGTTGATGTTAAGGCATAGCCTGTCACTATTCAAACACTACACATCAAAGCTTCACTGTATACATTTTATTGTTTTTTTTTTCTTCAAAATTTGTTGTTTTAATGTTTTTGTATCATCAAAAATTATGGTTGTTTTTAAGAATTGAGAAGGATATGTAATATATCGAAATATAGTTACAAACTAAGTTCAAATAAGTTTTTGTTTAATTTTAAAGTAGGATAATTTATCGACCAAAGTTAGCATAATCCCTACCTTGAGGTCAATCTGAATATGTTAGGTTCACTGAAGCTATGAGCTCCAAGACCTTGAGAATGTTTTTTCTTGTTCACAGGAGCACTAATCTGTTCGGAGTGAGCATTGCTGGAGCTTAGCAAAATATATAATTATTTACATATATTGAATTTTCAATTTCCTAAATCTTTGCAAACTGATGGTGTACACCTTTGATATTTCAAACTTTGATTATTTAATCTAACAGAATGTATGGTTTGAGATATCTAATGTCCACGCCATCGGGTTGCAAAGATATAAGGACTATAAAATGAAAGTTTGTGGCAAAACTCTTCTTCTTTGATTGGTCGTATTTCAAAAATTGGGTTTTTATGTTTTTTTTTTTACAAATAAGTAAATAATACTTTTTATTGTTCTTGTACTTTTATGTATACCTGAACGAAAAATCGTCACTGTTCATGTTTTGTTCGTATTCACTGTACATCAAATATTTCTCAACCTTTAAACATTACATTTTATATAAATATATCATAAAGGTCATTTTTTAACCTTTAAAAGGCTGGGTTTCGCACTCTTAGTTTTGAAAATATTACTTGAATCTTCTTGAGATTAAAAAAAAAATCAAGAGAATTTTTGACAAAAAAAAATTAAATGCATATTTGAAAAGATTTTGAAAAATTGACTTGAATTCATATATAATATGCCACCTAGGCTAATATATATTTGTAAAAATTTTTTTTTTTTTTAAATTTCTACCGCTCCGTAAGTTCGTAACATTAAACTNTATATATTATAATTATAATTTAAGAAGCACATTTGTTTCAATTATATAATACATTTTTTTCTATTTTTAAAAAAACTGTCAAATTTCTAAAATTTCTTTCTTTCAGATACCAACATTAATCGGGCGTGCAACAATTTAAATGGAGGATCATCACTTGAAATTACGTAGGTAGTAAAGGTGATTAATTTGGGTCGTTTTTTTTGGAAATCAGCCAACCTCCCACCTGAGGTCGTTGCGTTTTTACTTAAAAAAAGTTTGCAATAAAAAAATACAAAATCGTCCAGACGGTTGTGAATTGACGATTTCGTATTGGAGCAATCACCGTAAGGCCTGAAAAAAATATTTTGAAAAATTTCATGTGACACATTATCATCTTGTAAATTGCTGAATTCAGATTCGAAAACCATTAAAAAAATATTATTTTTTTTTAACTTTTTAATTTCAATTTTTAATGTTTTTAAAAGCACCTCTCAGATTTGAATTCAGCATTACATTTTCAAGAAAATGATGTATTACATAACATTTTTTCAAAAATATTTTTTTTTCGGGGCCTTTCGCTGGTTTCTACGATATAAAACCGTTAAATCGCAACTGCATGGACGATTTTGAGATTTTTTTGATTACAATTTTTTTTTTTAAGTGAAAATGCAGACGGTTGGCTCAAGTCCAATATTAATCACCTTTTTAGGTACTAGGTAGTCCTTTTATCAAAAAAATAATAAAAAATAACTGGACCTTATTACAGCTAGTGATACATTCTCCTAGATAATCTACATCTATTAGTTGATTCAATAAGTGTTCCTAAAAAACAACAAAAAATTGTTATTTTTTCTAGTTTTATCGAAGAAAAAATTGAAGAAATATTGTCTTTCTACCTCTGAGATGTTTGAGAGGATCTCATTTTTGCCGTGGAAATGGTAATTTTCATCATCTTCATCAATCTTAGAATAAAATAGATGTCAAATTTTCTAGGAATACAGGGGGGACCATATATCATGAGTTTTCTATAAATACAGGGGGACCATATTTCATGAGTTTTCTATGAATACAGGGGGACCAAATATCATGAGTTTTCTAGGAATACAGGGGGGACCATATTTCATGAGTTTTCTAGGAATACAGGGGGTACCATATATATAACATGAGTTTTCTATGAATATATCATATATCATGAGTTTTCTAGGAATACAGGGGGACCATATATCATGGGTTTTCTAGGAATACAGGGGGGGACCATATATCATGGGTTTTCGAGGAATACAGGGGGGGACCATATATATCTCATGAGTTTTCTATGAATACAGGGGGACCATATATCATGAGTTTTCTATAAATACAGGGGGACCATATTTCATGAGTGTTCTATGNGTTTTCTAGGAATACAGGGGGGGACCATATATATCATGATTTGGTGGAATGTATTTAAAATTATGATTTAAATTTTAATAATTCATATCTTGATAATTAATATTTTAATAATGTTTTTTAACCTGTATCTGCGGAGGAAACAGTAGTTTTGAATTGTTGTTATTCTGAGATACACCTCCCTTCTCTGTATCCTGCACAACACAAGAATACGTTTATTTTAACACATTTTTTCACCACCAGCAGAACATTTTTAATTTAATTTTTATAATACAAAAATGCCCTTACGCCGGGAGAGGGTTAAAGGGAGTGACCGCGTAGACATGGTAGTTGAGTCGTTTTTTACGGTGTAAAATTGTTCAGCAAGATGGAAAATTCGTTCTTGAAAATTCAGTTTGACGCCCCCCCTTCACTGCAGTTGGTGGGGACCGGGGGGTCTCAAATTAATCCTTAAAAAATTTCTCTACAATACAGAATACTGCACTCTCAACTCAACTACAATGTCTACGCGGTCATTCCCTTTAAGGAAGTGAAGATATATAATTGGCCTGCTTTTCAGGCAGCTTGAGGAAGTTGTGTATAATATACAATAAATAGCTATCGCTTTAAAAAGAATTTAATAAAACTTCCAAGATTTCAAAACTGCATTATGTTCAAGTTTGCTTTTATTATAATATTGTTATACTTAAAAAAAAATGGAAAACGATCGAATTACAACACTTTCGTTTTCGCATCGGTTTTTGGATCGTTTTTTGGATCTTTTTTGCATCGGCATAGTTTTTGGATCGTTTTCAGTCTAGGTCAAAAGTTTAAATGTTTAGAATAATAAATTATCCCCTTCTTGGGAGGATTGTGTAGAAGGGCTACTTTAGCACAATAATCTGAGGGATGGGTGGGTGAGACCAGGCGGTCTGAACCCCCCCCCCCCTCCCCGACTTTATATACATACATTAAAATCTTCAGCCGTTTTAGGGTTAGATTATTTACAACTCTTTCTTCTATTGAACTTAACAATTTACTAGTTTCTAATAGTTTGTTTGTAAACTGTTAAAATCTTGAGAAGCTGACACCTTGCTAATCATGTTTGCGCACCTACTGCGCACCTACTGCGCTCCTTGCGCACTCCGGGAGATTAATGTTCACATTGTCGCGTGCATATCTTTTGCAAGATGGGGTGTCAAGATTTAAAGTGTAAATACCAATACATATTAATACGAAGGTAAGGAGTGTATAAATACCAATACATATTAATACGAAGGTAAGGAGTGTATAAATACCAATACATATAAAGGGAGGGCTACAGGGGCTCAGTCCCCCCCTGGATCAGTAAAATCTATGATTTTTAGGAAGTTTTGGGACCTAAATGTGTTGATGAGCCCCATCCCCAGCCCACCCCCCATCCACCACTAAAAATAACAAAAGTTTAAGATCCTACCCCTGGACAAATTCCTGAATACGTCACTGAATCTAAATTACCTTTACTACTGCAGGACAGATACATTGTAGAGAATGATGTTCAGATTGCACTTCACTAAACAACCAACATTTAACAATGGTATAGGTTACTTTTTAATTTTAATTGATTTTAATTTTTTTGAACAAAATTACCATTTCTTTAAAAAATCGTTTTTTTGCTAACCCTCCGCTATTTTTCCGCGGACAAATTAAAATCTAGAATTATATCGCATAGAAGTACTTTAGGAGACCCTCTTACATTGGAGACCACCATGACTATCTCATCGGTGGACCCCAGATTTTCATTGGAGACCCAACATTTTTAAGGGAGACCCCCAGATTTTCATCGTCATTGTCATTGAGGTCTCTGGCTGATAGTATTCATTGGTGATAACTCATCATAGGCTCAAGAGAATATAAAATTAAATGTTTGTTTAAAAATTATTTTTAGCTTATTGTTGTCATACCTGATTCTCTGACTGGATAACTCCGGTTGAATAATTATATTCTTCATTGAGTTCATCCCCATCTCCTCTCCACCTCCTACTCCGCCTACTCCGCTTAGAGGTACGCCCACTCCGCTCCCCGCCCTCCAACCACTCTCCTGCACCACACCAACACTAGAGAAAACCAAAACAAAACTAAAACTAATAAAAACAAAACAAAATAAAAACAAAATAAAAACAAAACAAAAAACAAAACAAAACAAAAAATAATAAAAAAAGATATATAAAATATATGCTAAAAAAGTGCGTGAAAATTTACAAAAAAAAATTAACCCTTTACCCACGTCCATTACAATTTTTAGACATAACTCAAAAAGTTTATCGTCTTAGACTGTACCACTGGCAGCCGTAGTACATTTGAATTTCCGAGCCGGGTCAACCTTTGCCGGTCCCAGTTTGTACTGTACCTAGCTCTTTGGACAGGAATAGCCGGTGCAAAAAGGTTGACGCGGTCAGACTTTATGCTTCATATAGGTTGAATTTACTTTTAGTGAAGGGACAGAGGTGCATGGTACACATTTATTTTGACATACGAAACAGCACAACATTTTTAGCTCTGAAAGGCTTTGACAAAATAGTTCACAAGTTGTGCAGATTTAGAAAATGTTGCAACTTTTTTCGCATATTATAAATTGCTGGGTCTTGGGCTTTCCAAAAGTATATGAAGTACTATGAGTTAGCATTACACAAGGTTAAAAGAAAACAAAAACAAAGTTAAACCAATAAAGTATAAATGCATGAAAGCAAAAACAAACCAAAAACTTTAAAAACTCAAATAATACTAATATTTTTTTTAGTTTTGATTTAACGAATGTTGCCTAACTTGTCGGGAATTTGCAACTTTTTATTGAATTTAAACAAAATGTAAACGTCATGTAAGTATCAAACAAAAAGGTTTTTAATTAAATATTCAAATGTTAGTGTTAAATGAAAAACCAGCAGAATAAGCTGCACAACAGACATGGGCAAACTATCGTTAAAGGGAATGTCAGCAGAATAAGCTGTACAACAGAAATGGGCAAACTATCGTTAAAGGGACTGTCAGCGTAATTTCAAGTGAACCCTTATTTTAATCTTACATGTACAACTCACATCGGTACCTTTAAACTTTATCTAAGCATTGATTATATTTATATATCACCATTTATAAATCTAGAAATATGAAATATATTCAATTCAGACAATTTCCGTCACCATGGTATCAATGTATAAATCCGCAAGTCAGAAAGAAAAGAAAGATATCTCCGTCCTTTTTGCTAAAACCGAAGATTGTGAATCGGACATCCACCTTTTTTTAATAAGATACTTGAGATACTTGAAATCACGTGATCAGTTTCTTTATTAGATTTAACCAACTCAAAAATATACGATAAAAAGAAATGAATAAAATCCAACAAATGTCAAATCCAGGAAAAGGTGAAAATAAATTGACATAAATATTGAAAAGTGATTTTAAATTTTAGATGTCCAACGATATTAATGAATTTAAAATTTTGAGAAATAATCCTACCTTTTTACAAACATGATCTCGTTTGTGTTTCCTAAATAATATCTTTATTATTTTTTATGTTTGTTTAGAATTTAATAAAAACAGCTACAAGGTAATTTAATATTTGCTGCAGTGCCATAAAGTGCGAGACAATCAAATAACAAATTCAAATTTTAAATTAAACATTTTTGGATTTCTCTGAATAATTCACATAAAAGTAAAAAAATCATTAAAACAACTAAATTACGTTAATTGCATTGAACTTGACGCTAAATCAAAAAGAATTGTATTTACAGTATATACGTGTTTTAAGGGGCTGAATAATCGTAAACGAGACAGCTAGGAGAAATTAGTTAATCTGGATTCAGATTTAAAATTCAACACACATTTGTTCTTCTTAATATATCTTCAATAAGAGGAGTTATGATTAAAAACGTAGGTAGTTTGACGTGACATACAGTTTAATCCAGAACACCAAAACAATTTATAATATTTAGTTTTTTAATTGAAAATTATATGGAGCTCTTTTAAACTGTTTCCGCATATTTCATAGCTATTTATTTGTTTTTACAACTACTAAGATTTAGGTACAGGGTGTCCCACGAAACATGAAAATAGCAAGACGACTTGAAAGTCGTCTTTGATATTTGAATTTATTTGTGACATTTAGTCTTCTATCTACTTTAACATGTATGATTCTTGAAACAATTATCACATAATTCTCCTAGCCCTGGCATTTCCAAAAAGTGGTCTGCGTATTTTGTGCTTTCAATATTACCGGAGATATAAAGAGTTTGGTTCAGATTTCAATTTTGTTCAATAAAAGCAAAATTGTCGAAATCTGAACGAAATTCTTCATATCTCGGGCAATATTGAAAGCACAAAAAAGGCAGACCACATTTTGGAAATGGCAGGACTAGGGGAATTTTGTGATTATTATCTCTAGAAATTTACTTCTAAAATTAGGTTGCCAAATAAACGCAGCAAATTATATCAAAAATCAAGACGACATTCAAGTCCTCTTGCATACTGTCATGTTTCGTGGGACACCTTGTATTATAATGATATAAAGCCCATTGAGAAAAATTGTCAAGACGACATTTTATGTTTTTGAAGTTCTGTGTTAAATATAATTTGGAACCGAGTATATATATTACCTTGAATTAACAAGGAAGAGAACAAGAGCCCCTAGGAAAACCAGACTGAAGGATAAATAAAATCCAGCTTTAGGATTACCAGTACTCTAAACTCATAGTTATAATTGTACTGCAGCTTTCTCAGTATAAGGGATGGAATTTTTTCTTAAAACAACTTTCATTGTTTCTTTACCGATAAAAATAAAAATGAAATAAAGTCTTTCAGCTTAGATCTTTTAAACTACCTATTCTTTTAGATCAAATATAAAATATCAAAGGTTTAAACCATCAGGTTGCCAAGATATAGGGGATACACAATTTTAATTTGTGGCTTAATACTTACTTCCTTTGTACTTTATAGCTATATCATAATTTTGATTTTAAAATGCAAGATTTCAAACATCTGTTTTCATTTTGTAATTAAGGGACTGTAAGCATAATTATTTTGTAATTAAGGGACTGTAAGCATAATTATTTTGTAATTAAGGGACTGTAAACATAATTATTTTGTAATTAAGGGACTGTAAGCAACATTATTTTGTAATTAAGGGACTGTAACCATAATTATTTTGTAATTAAGGGACTGTAAGCATAATTTTAAGTGCAAAGATTCACAAAAGTACCCTAATAACGTTTGTCTAATTAAGACTGAATGAGATATTAATTTTTATAATATTGAAAACTTATTATTTTTAGTTGTCATTTCTCTTTCTACTGCAGGAAAACATAAAGGAACTATTAGAATTAAATAAAAATATATTCCACATTATTGATCAGATAAAGGATTCAAGGGTACAAATGTGAATCGGGCATTGCTATCGTTGCATGATCGGTCACTTGAAATATGCTTACAGAGTACTGTTAAAAGTTAACTTACTGTTAAGTTAACTAGGTCAAGAGCGCGCAAACAGTTAGATATAACTATATTGCTCGTATACAAGAATAACCCTGTTCCTGATTTATCAGTTGACTGATAGGAATACCGACTAACATTGGGAAACTCTTAGATCCTGAACAAAATTAGATCTTTAACAAAAAATTTATCAAAGAAATTGTTTAAACATTTAATTAACAATTTGCGACTCCCTCAAAACTGTTCCTTCAAAATAAACCTTAAATGAAAGATAATATGTAAATTTAAAATGCTACACATCAAAGTTATTTAATTGCTTGTCTTATCCACAATTAAAAGTTATCCGTTGCATATTGTAGATTCAAAATTCACTTAAAAGTACTCTGTTCTTTATAGTAAATCTGTATAGTTTAATAAGACGATTTCATATTTTGAAAAAATCAGATTTTTTATTTGTTTACGAACCTTGCACAAAACTCCATGCTCTTGGGAAATGCTTTGCTCGTATACTAAAGAAAAAATTATCTCATAAAAATAACAATTATCGCATTTAATAGATGATAATTAGATTAATATTATGAAAAAAATGAGCTGTTGCCACAAACTTGAGTTTTAAAATCCATATATATTTACAACCCGATGTAACAGACCTTTAATATTTTAAACTATTAATCATGATAAATAAAATAGTCTAAGCTTAACATCAAAGGTTTACATTATTAGGTTGCAAAGATATAGGGATTAGAAAATTTGATTTGTGGCAAAAACTCAATTCCTTCTATAAGAATACATATACAACGTAGTGCACGTGCACTCTTATATATATATACTCTTATTATTATGGAGAAAATGTTTACCATTCGTAAGTGTACACTTTTAGTACATAATGATACCCTCCCAGGAAGAAACCGTACAGTACAACAAACAGTAAATATCCGTAATATCCTTGTACAACGGTCAAGGTTACGAGTGAGCCACCTGAAAAAAATATTTGAATTGTCAATTACTTAAAATAAAAAAATAAAAACTCTACACTAATTTTGAATTAATCTAAATTTAAAAGTCCGATTTACAATTGTGTCCTTTAAATATTTGTCACAGCAAGGATAAATGAGATATCCAAATTTCTCCATTTGAAAATTGATTCCATAATGGATTCTCCAAAAAAAGTGACTGTCGGATTTCTGCAGAGACAATGAAAGAAATCCACACTTCTTTACCCTATCCTACCTGTACCCCCCCCCCCCTCTCCCTCTAACGAATTATTATTGGTCTGAAAAAAATGTTTGTCTAAGGCCTATATGTTTTCTAACTGACACAACTCCCTCACTTACTGATCCTATACCAGTCTAAACCTGTATTTAGACCCACTTTCAGGAATTGGATTCAAACAATAATGACCCATTGGAAAGCCGATAAAAAAGATCTTTCTTATATAATTAAGGAAAGTGCGCTCCTAAGGTATCAGGGCCGTTTTCCGACAATTTCATATTCAAGGAATTCTGGATGGAAATGACCTCGCTGCCCTAGGATCAGACTTTTCCTTCCTTTTTGGGGATTATATTCTGCTTGTCTAGCTTTTTCAAGGGCTTTTTAAAAATATGCAGTTTATCATATTTCACGGGCAGCTGTAGACCTAGTACATTTGAATTTCCGAGGCGGGTCAACCTTCACGCTTTATATAGGTTGAATTTACTTTTTCTAAAGGGGCAGAGGTGCGTGATTTGCGTAGTTTTGGTTTTTGCGCATATTTTAATTAATAACTAAATTTCACAGTAAATTTTTGAGTATGAGGACAAGGGTCAATATAACAATATAAAAAACCTCTCTTCCTAAAAAAGATTAAAGAGCAGTATTGTGAAGCGGACATGCATGATGGAGGTTCAAATATAATTATAGTCAGCATTCCCTTTAAATTACAAAAGTTAAACTATTTGGTTAAATCAAGGTTATAATGTAAGGAAAGTTATTTTGTACTGCAGTGTACTGTCTCTGGACGATAATGTAAATACAAGACTGATGTCGAAGCCTGACATGGGATCCATCTTTCACATAAAAAAATCAATGAAATATTCTGGTCATAGGGAACTATTATGTGAACTATCAAAATTTAATTCTTTTAACCTCCTCGGATACTAAACGAACACTGATGCATCTATTCTTGTTTTACGCCCAGAGAGAACTGGTTCAATATGTACGCAGAGTATACGCAACTGCAATTAACTTTCCTTGCATTTTAACCTTGGGTTAAACCAAGAAATTAAAGTACTTAAATTTCAAACATTTAAAAAGTTTAAAGTTTAAACTATTTGGTTAAACCAAGAAAATTAAAGTACTTAAATTTCAAACATTTAAAAAGTTAAAAGTTTTAGAGTTTCCACTTAAAGTCTGCAATGTGTGGTATAATGCGACAAAAGTTCTTTAAACGTCAGGCAAATTTAAAACTATTCTTGTGTTAACAAATGATACCAAATATAATAGAAGGATGAATTGTATCTAGAGATGGGTAAAGTTTAGTAAAAAATAATGAAATTTTACACTCATTTTGGAATCACTTTAAAACATACGAAATATATATATATTTAGAATTGTAAATACTTAAAGATTACATAAATATGGGCATTGAGAGACAACTTGAAAGTTGTATTGTTTTCTAATATTTAATGCATGGCAAAAAAAATTTAAAAACGAGGTTGTCCATCTTCTTGTATCTAAAAATTGACGAAGAAATTAGATATAAAACAAATATATTAGCAAGTATAATCTATTTTGATATTAAGACAACTCTAATCTATGAAATAAATTTTGCAATATCTCCTTAAATTTTGAAGATACAAAAATCTTAAGACCACGCGTTTTCAATATTTGATGTTTAAACTGGAATATTGCAATAATTGTGTTCATGAAAAAATTCCGCATGTATCCAAAACCATATAAAAATCGACGCTTAATTCCATTATTTATTGGAATACCCTGGCTTCAAAACGTTTTTTAAGAAAACTAAATTGAAAAAAAGCTATATAAAAGTAGGTTAATAGGTATTTTGATATTAATCGGTTCACATCTATATCATTAAAGCTCTCAGTAATGATTTATAGAAATACTTGAAAATACATCTATCTACCTAAATATCAAATTCTATCATTCTATCTATCTATCTATCTATCTAACTAACTGTCATTCTATATCATTCTATCTATCTATCTATCAGCAGTTATTAACAAATATATACCTAAGCCGAAGACAGCAGTTTTAAGAAGATAGATGGTCGGGATGACACACTGGGCGGATCTGAAAAAATTTCTTTATATTTATATTTTACTTAATTGAAAGCTAAAATATAGGATGGGTGCAAAGCGCCCTAAAAACCTAGTATTGCATTATTTGTCTCATTTTTTCTTTTTATGTCTTTCAAATTAAAAATTGTGATGGAAAAACAAGAAAAATTAAAAAGAACACTCTCTTTATCTCTTTATCTGATAGGAAATGTATTTTAAAATAAATCAAAAAGAAAATAGTGTGAAACAAATATTCACTTTACCCTCTTACAT